CACACACACACACACACACACACACACACACACACTTGAGCTGAGGTTCCTACTCAGGACTCACCTGTACATGTATGAGTGTGCCAAGCAGGAGCAGGGTCTCAGTTACACTGCCCTGGAGCAGGAAGGTCAACCGAGGGACTATAATTATTCCAGAGAATCTGTCTCCTTGCCAGCAGAACCCAAGGCTCGGCTGTCCTGCCTGGCTCCCTGCCATGGACAGCAATGACCCCAAATAGCTTTCTACAGAGGAACTTCGACTGCTCGCTGATGGTGCCGCATCTGAGGGGCTGCCATCCTAGGACTCTGAGCCTCTGCTGGATTCACTTAAGGCTTCTTCCTACTCTTCTCCTTTTGCTCCTTAGGAATCATCGTCATCCCTTTGACTCCCAAACCACCCCATTGCACCAAGGTCCAGAGAGCACTAGGACTTGGTGCTGGTCACAAGCTTGAGTGGATGGTGGAAGTCAGTTCTCCTTTCAGGTTGGCTTTCCCACACTCGGGTGCATCCCTCTCAGCAGTGCTCCCGAGCATGCCCTCAAGGGTTCCTCTGTCTCCCAAACCTGCTTGTGGAGGCGAGAAGGGAGCCAGAGGTTTCCTGTCTGGGCTGAGAGTGAAAGGGCTAAAAGAGGGAAGGAGGAAGGAGCAGCCAGCAGCCACAAAAGGCTTCAAAGGGCTCGGGCTTCTGCCAAACGGGCTGTATGCAGTACAACCAAGTCTGGGCCAGGGCACTGGCCCCGCCCCCGCCCTGCAGCCAAGGCCATTCATTCTCTCATGGGACACAACTTCCTTGCAACTCTGGGCCATGCCACCCAAGGCGTGAGCTCTGGGAACCTGCTCCTCCTCCTGCTACAGCCACAGCAGGCAGTGGGCAAAGCAGATAAATTTTTTCCTGTCGATCAGCCTGGGGGCAGGGCTTTAACTTAGATGTGGCTTCGCTGAATCACAGAAAATGAAAGAAATATAGATGGGAACCTGTGTGGTGACGCTTGCTTGTCATCCCAGCCTTCAGGAGGCTGAGGCAGGAGGATCACCATAAATTCATGGTTGAACTACATAGCGAGACTGTCTCAAAAAAAAAAAAAAAAGAAAAGAAAAGAAAAAAGAAAAAAGAAAAAAGAAAAGAAAGAAAGAAATGTAGATAGGGAGACCGAGGCCCATAAAAGGCCAGGGAGTGGTGAAGGCAGAATTCAAGATCTACTACTTAGAGGGCTGGCCAAATAGCTCAGCGAATTAAAGCTCGCAGGCACTGGTGTGTGTGGGGGGGGGGGGATCCCCGGGCCTGCCATGCCGGCCCCGCCCCCGGGGCGCGCTGAGACAGCAAGCAATTGAGACTGGGCATGGTGGCGTGGTGGCACGCACCTGTATCCCAGCTCTTGGAAGGCTGTAAACAGGCGGATCACTACAAGTCCAATCTAGTAGTGAGACCCTGAACACCCTGTAGGTCCTTCCCTAAAATACAAAAAAAAAAAAAAAAAAATCTACTTAGGGGATGATCTTTTCTTCTAGGCTCTTGACTGAGTTAGAAGCCACCACCTACAGCTGGAAAGAGTGCATTCGCTCAGGGAAGAACGAGGGAGACAAGCGCTGGCCTGAGCAGCATCTTGGACAGTTTTGCAGTCTGGGGGATTCTGAGTCAGACGGTAAGCCTATCGCTAGGGTTGTGTGGCCAAACTTTGCATTCACATCTACGTCTTTGTGCTTGAGCCCTGGCACCCTCGGGATTCTTTGCGGAGTGCCTCCCATTAGGCACCAGCAGGTCCCGAGTGCTCGGGCCCGGGGGAGCTGTCCCCTCCAGGTAATCATGCGTGCCAGCTCAGGGCTCTTAGTTCCGTGCCCGTGACTGGACACTGGGCTGCCCAGAGAAGCAACTGACCTTGGCGGGTATCAGAATGATGAGTGGCAGCAGCAGGAGCGGGCTGACGAACAAGATCGCGAAGGACTTGAACTTGGAGACATAGCTCAGCGCCGAAGCCATGGCACGGGAGCGAGCCTAGCGGGCAAGAAGAATGAGGGGCAGCGAGAGGCTCCGCGGATTTAAGAAGGGGCAGCGGTACCAGGGATGGGGGGGCGGTAACTACTCCGCCCCCCACAGCGGGCCTCCCTGCGGCCACGGGGCGGGGCGGGGCCGCCCCTCCGGGTGGGTGGGACGCGGCGCCTCCCCCCAACTCCGCCACCCCGCGGCGAAGGGAGACACTGCCGGGCTCCAAGGCTTGGACCAGCCCTCTGGGGGCCGCCTGGGCCCTGGCACCTCACGACTCTCCAAGCCTCTTCCGAGCTGCCCGGGATGAGGGCGCCCTCCGGGGCTGCCAAGCGAGGCGTGGGCGTCGTTCGTTGTGCCGGATTTGTCGTGCAGACCCCACCCGCATCCTCACCTGCGCTTTGCCCGGCTCTGAGGTGGTCCCGGGTGAAAGCGTCCACCGGCCTCTGGGTGTCTCAGTTCCATCTCCCGAGCCTCTCCCCTTTTCATCTCCCTGCTTCTGCCGGGTACCACCCGGTCCCTGGGAGGTCCCTCGAAGAAGCGGCGACTACGCTCCGAGCCGGCGCACCACCACCGCCTCTTTCCCGGGCTGACCTGGCTTCTCCGCCACGCCCGTCTCGTTCCAGACACAGCGGTCTTGCACCCGCGCCCGGCCTCCCTGGCCCAGCGTGCCCCGCTCAACGTCCTCAGCGGACCGCGAGCAAGCCCAGGCCGCTGTCTTCGCAGTCTGCACAGCTCTCGCGCTCCGCGGACACGCGCGCAGCCTGCCCCCTCCTGGCGGCCTCCTTGGCGCCCGCAGCAGCCGCGCTCCGCCGCCGCGGGCTCTAACCCAGGACAGCAGGAGCCTACAGAGGAAGAGGCAGTACCGAGGCCAAAACTGAGCACCTGTTCTCTGCTGAGTCCTGTTTGGGGCACTAGAGACAGAACAGGGTCAAGCCACTGCCACGTCTATTACTTTCTTCTTTTTCCCTTGTCATCTGTCCATCTTATTTCGCAACTGCATTGCAAGAAGTCTTATCCATGCCCGTGGTGTAACCACAGCCTGCTTCTCAGTGATTTTATGCCACATGCCCAAATCCCACATTTCCACAGTCAGCGCTCCTGCGCATCAGAACGTCACCTTGTTGCTGACATGTAATTGGGCCTAGCAGTTACTTCTGCACTGAACATATACAGGGAAAGCCTTATTATTATCTCTTACATAATAAAGTATAACTATTTACATAGCATTTATTTTGTATTAGGTATTATAAGTAACCTAGAGATTAATTGTAGGGGAAATTGCATAGGTTATATGCAAAACTACATTTTATTGAACACCCACAGAATTTAGTCCTGGGAGTCCTGGAACCAATCACACTATGTCCACTACCACTAGTATAAACAGCTAAGTTAGAAATTAATACTCAGTCAGAGGTGGACTGTGACCCTCAAGGACATGAGTGGGGAAAATGTAGAATTAGAGTTGTGGCTGGAGTTGCGTCAAAGAAGGTCCTCAGGCCTCAGGGTGCAATGGCCAGGCCTACATGATTCCCTAAGGGACAAACAATCCCTTGAGAGTACAATTAGCACCACTAGGTCCAGTAAGCCCAGACAGCTGTCAGTCACCCAGATGGGTGACCAGAGCATCTGGACCCATCCCTTCCCGCAAATCCCTTTGTTCTTTCAATGTACCCTTGCTACTGTGCCCTGCTTCCCTATTGGCTCACTATTCGCCAGCAACTGTACTTGTAACTTGACCCATGTTGTACCTTCGTTGTGACTTTGCTGTATAAATTACCTTGACAAAGAGCCTTGATAGATACTCCACTTGAGACCCCTCCTGGAAATTCAGGAGCTAGTCCTCCCTATTTATTTCTAAATAGTTAAAATGCTCCTAACTTCTTCCTCTGGTTTGAGACTTCATTTTTCAGTGTTATGGAACTACGAACTTGGCACATTTGACATCTAACAGGTTGGGAGTTAGAGTTCTCCTATGTTACCAATACCATAGAGAAGGACAACTATATTTCCAGCCATTCACAGCCTATTTGGGCCTCAGAGCCTAAACTCAACACATCTTAAATCAATTTCATGACTTTTCCTGCGAAAAAGTTTTCACTCTAGTCCTCTGCACTCAAGGACACATACATTGCCTCAAACCCCTCCTGCAATTTTCTATTTTGTGTCCTCTTCTTTTGTAATTTTTTTTTTGCTTTCTTTTTTTTTGGTGGAATCAGGGATTGAACTCAGGCCCTTGCATTTGCCAGGGAAGCACTTATTCCACTGAGTCATCTCCCCGGCCCCTGTAATTTTTTTTTTTAAATTTATTTATTGAGACCAGGTCTCGCTATGTAGCCCAGGCTGGGCTCAAACACATGGTGATCCTCCTGCCTCAGCCTTCGAAGTGCTAGGATTGCAAATGTGTGTTATCAGGCCTGGTTTGTTTTGTAATTTGAATTTGTATAACTCTTACCTACCTGCCCCCATTTTCCCAGGATATTTGTTGATGTGATTTTCATTTAATGTCAATTTTAATTTTTTTTAATTTTATTTATTTATGTGTGTGTTTGTGTTTATTTATTTATGTGTGTGTGTGTGTGTGTGTGTGTCCAGCTCAGCCCACCAGGGGGCGGGGCTGGCTGGCATGTGGTGCTGGGGGATTGAACCGCGGTCCCTGTGCTTTGCTAAGCTTGATTCTAAGTAGGTGCTTTAGACCACTGAGCCATCTCACCAGCCCAATGTCAATTTTATTTATATTGTGTTCCAGCCAGTACCTTTTGCTGTGCCTGATTTGAGGTATGCACTTAAAACTTTCTGGGATGCATAAATGAGCACAAATAAACCATTTCATACATAACACAGCCACTTTAAGGGGGTGGGCATAACGAAGAGCACCTGCTGTAGCGCTAGACCACTGGATCCGTATCTCGGCCTTGTCTCAGCCCAGCTATGTGCCTGAGGCAAGTCATCCTCCCAGAAGTGGAGAGAACAGCACCAACTTGGATTTCAAACGATTGCTTTCACGACTACATGAACTATCATTGTTCAGAGAATGGTGAACAGTGCTTTGGTAGGTAGACATCAGTGAAGATTTGCTCTTGCGATTATATGCAACATAACCGCGGACGCAGGGGCCTCGGAAGAAGGACCCACTGAGTCTGCCTAAAGCAGTGGGGGTGGGCTTCACAAAGGCATGTGAGCAGACATTTCAAGGCCGAGTGGAGATTTGGCAGGTAGCAGTACAGGGTAGTCAAAACACAAGAAAGAAAACATTCAAGAAAGCCCAGGAGTACTAGAAAGAGTATGACAACCACAAAAAGCTAAGTAAATAAAGACAGTACACCAAGTTCATAGATAAAAAAACCAAATCTAGATATAGCCATCCTTCCCAAATTTATCTAGAAGTTCTATTTAATTCCAATTAAAATCCTAGGAAGACTTTTATATAGCAGGCCTGAAGTTCAAGCAGAGTAGCAAAGAGTCAAGCATAGTTTAGACACTTCTGCAAAAGGGTGAATGGGTGGGAGAATTGCTATTAGACTTCAATAATGATGAAACTATGATAACTGATGTAATCACTAACAGTATGAACATAGAGAAATAGAAAGGTATCAGAACATACTGCATTTCATTAAAACACGTGAAGTAATACACTTGAGAAATTGCATTTGCTACCTTACTCTTGCATATGCTATAGTATTACTTTATATAAGATATTGATAAAATATCATAAAATGCATCAATTATGTTGCATCATTATAATTTTTTGTTGATGTAGTTTGGCTGTTTTAGCAACCTACCACTAGGCTGTGCTCAGTATTTTATTTCTTAATTTTAAAAATAATATTGCTATTACAAATTACCATCTGCAGTGCAGTAGCTTAGTTCACAGGTATCAGCATATATAGTTAGTCAGGGTGAGAATCTTTCCAATTAACTGCTAGATTAAAAAATCTTCTGAAGATTCTCAGGATCATTGCCTTGCCCATCTTCTA